CCATCTAGCTCAGAAGCAACAAAGCCCACATGGAAGAAGCACACCAGCCTGTGCGATCACAAGATGTCGAAGGGATGAGGTATGAGGCATCATCAGAACAAAAAATCTTACCATCGTGAATGAGGGGACGAGTGTGGGGTGGAGACCCAAAGCCCATTTGTAGGCCCTGATGCTGCATTCTTCTTCATATAATCCAGCTCCTCTGATTGTTTCTTCAACATACAGATTGAACAAGTATGATGATAGGATATAAGCCTGATACATACCTGTCTTGATTTTAAACTTTGCAGTATTCCCTTTTGTGATAAAGATGGGGCTTTCTACTCACGTAGAGTTACAGTCTTGGAAACTCATAGAGGCAATTCTTCCCTGTCCTATAGGGTCACTGTGAGTTCTCATAAACTCAATGGCATTGAGTTAGTTTTTTTTTGGTTTTTTTTTTTCAAGAAAGAAAAGCTTTTGTTTTCCAGTCTAGCCTGTTGGGGCACCATGCCCTGAGTTGGGTTTTTTTTTGCTTTTGAATATTTCCTTTTTCTATTCCTACAACTGCCTCTTGTTACCCATGAACACAATAAAAGTGTTCTGGAATGCCTGTTCTTCTCAAGGCTATACGTAGTTTATTCTAATCCACACGACTGAATGCCTTTGTATTACAAGTCTGTGAAACACAAGTAAGCATGTTTCTGGTATTCTCTGCTCTCCCCCAAGATCCTTCTGACACCAGTAATGATATCCCTTGTTCCATATACCCTTCTGAAGCTGGTCTGAATCTCTGTCAGCTCTGTCAACAATGTACTGCTGCAACCATTGTTGGATGATTTTCAGCTAAATTAATAATATATCATTCTATAGTTTGAGGATTCTTCTGGGTCACTTTTCTTTGGAGTGAGTACAAATATGGATTTCTTCCAGTGCCTTCTAACTTTCTTGGCATAGATGAGTGAGTGCTTCCAGTGCTTAATTAATTTCTTGAAACATTTCCGTTGGTAGCCGTCAAGTCCTAGAGCCTGTTTGTGTCTAATGCTTTCAGTGCAGCTTGAACTTCTTCCTTCAG